CAGGTGAATAGGTGGGGAGCGGGGTGCTCAGACATACCAAGTCTTTCCATTTCATCCATCGACTTCCCCCAGCTAGACGTCGATGGATGAACTGGAAAGACTTGGTATATCTGAGACTTGGTATATCTCCCCACCTATTCACTGACGCGGGGTGGTCGAGCATTGTACATCAAATTGAAAATTTTATTGTAATCAGTGTGAAAAAAGGGCTTGGAACATCAGCTCTCTCAGTCGATAACAGGTGCGTTCACTACAGTACACTCCGACAATATCTTCTAGTAAAACACTCGGATGATCAGAGGAAGAATGAGTTTAGCTCCTTCTTGGCGTGAACGCCTCGCGGCTGTGACTTTACATCCTCTGGTAGGCACTGCGAGTTTCATATGACATCTACTTTTCATCCTGAGCAATGATGAAGTCACATGATGTCCCTCTTGCTCACAGCCGACGAACTTCTGACACACGCTAACTCGCTCTCGACGCTCTTGCTCAGTCGAGAAGTGTGCGATATTTGCGAACGGTTCTGCTGTGAAAGCGACTCTCGCGTAGCAGTCGCTCTCGCCTTGTGGATGATGATTGGGTAGCAGCGATCGTCTTTCCCATTTCCTGAAAGTTCGAGGAGGATTGCTCCGACAGGAAGTCAGAACAGTGCCGGTATTTGAGGACAGTGGAAGTTCGCTTTGACAGACTTCACTTAGACAAATCTCTTACCAGAGGAAGCGATTGTGCCATTGGTGGTAGGTGAAAGAAGAGAGTTTATGATGCCAGTCAGCCACCAAAACTCATTCCACGCTTGAGTGTTGATTCGATAAGTTCCATAATGGTGAAGAAGACCCCGATAAAGACTCCGGTATGACACATCCTTCGGTCTACGATTATTTACTTCGAACGACCATGCGGAATACCGATCAGCTGTGGTATCGATCTATTAACAGTGCCCCTTTTTCTGCTATCGAATCTATAGTCCTTCATTAACGCGTTCGCAAACAACATGCTTTCAAAGTTGAGAGGCAAAATTTTCTTGAAATTTTCCGGACACCCTAATCTCACGGATATCGGATATCTAATCGGATAGTCTCACGTACTTCATGTGCTCTTGTTTCTCATGGCCAACATATGTTCTAGTGCCCATGACTGTGACTTCTGTTTAAATGTTTTGACGATTCAGTAACCACGAGAGCGACGCATAGAGATGCATCGACCTGAGAACAAGACACATTTGCTCCTGCAGATGTCCGTGATCTTAGGAACTCTGATTCAAAAGGAACTGGCAAAGGAGATAACTGAAGACAAGAGACGAGAATGGAGTTAATACTTGGACTGATGGCGCCCATTTCATTGATTGAAAGGTTTTTAACGAATTGTCACGAGCCATCGATATTTGGAAGTCTGCCGAACTCCTTTGACTTATACTACATCTATGTTTTGAGATCAATTGTAGTCTTTTAGCTACACCAATAGAAATATACGGTTATCAGCAGAGTCGTTCATGGAAAAAGATATATACTCAGATATTTTAGGCTTGAGAAGGGGTAGAGACTTTCAATCCCTGCTTGCGAGTTCCGGGCTAGACAACCAAAGGACCTTCTGCTCACTTATGCCTAGAAGTTCGGCTAAAAATGAACATTCCATGGATGGTAACATTATGGCATGAGATCAATTCAAACAAGTTTAACGACACATTCATTTCACTCATAATAGCAATACTGACAGGAGTAGCAAGTTGAAAAAAGTTCAGCCTACTTTGGCCCGATTGAACGGCAATTTTCTTAGAATGTATAAACAGGGAGAGCTGTGCTTTAAAGAGTGTTTAAGACAGTTCCGCGAGCAATCTCCTTCTGGCAGTATGGTGGTACGGGTTTGGGAAAAAGTTGTACAAATTACGTTTTCGAGCAGGTTGCGCGCTGATGTAAAGGGTTGACTAAGCTGAGGTTGTTGTGGAAATTATGGACGGACTCATGAAGCAAGGCGGCTGTGCGCCACTTGCGCGCCTAGGTACACAAGTTTACCAGTGGCTCTCACGCTCCTGGCGAAACGCACCGATTTTGTAGGTGCATTCAGAAGGAATGTCCGCTTTCATAGTCCGCCGGCTGGCCGCTAGCGCGCGCGTGCGTCGGCCGGGGACGGCGCTTGCAAGCGCCGAGAGGGAGCGCGCGCGTCGCGGGCCAGCCGGCGGACTATGAAAGCAGCCAATCGAATAGATTCATTCAGTACTAGAGACAAGGAGATCTTACGTGGTGAGAACTCTTCTATCAGCAATATCAGAAGGGATTGCTGGATTTAGAATAGAGGCACCAGAGAAAATCTGTATGTTTCTAAACGGACACGATGCAACTTGCCAGCCTCATGAGAGGCTTACTGTCGTGAGAGAAATACAAGATGTAGGATAGAACTGAGTTATCCATATCACTGCCTTTATCGTAATCATAAAATTTGCGGACGGACACACCGACAGACATACCGACATACCGACAAACCGACACACCAAGTTTCCGCTTTATAATAAGAGAGATACTAGTCGGGCCGCCCGGCTAACGCCGGGCTTCCCTCCTTTTTGAGGAGTCGCCCGGCTTCGCCGGGCGCTTTTCGTTCTTGCAAGAAATTTGCTATGCGTAAATAACACTTCGGATTCCCTTTTTCTTTGAAAGCTCTACAACTCAGTATTAGCTCTGATTTTTTCTGTACTACAATTAATTATATACTAATTAGAAGTTTCGATTCATTGCTCTTCATCTCGAAAATGTGTCGGATTGATGGCTTAACTGACTGACATTCAATGTCTTGAATGGTGCCTAGAAATGGATAATAATGCCTATCACAGGTGTCGTTATCAACTGAACATTTTCTCCACGGATTTTTCATTAATTGGGGATCCCAAATCATTGGCGGTCAGATAGTTTAGTCACAAATGCATGTTACAAAACAAAAAGGAGTAGTGGTACTTCATCGTTACCCGTAGTCTAATAGCAAGAAATGAACAAAATTCTCATTTCGTCATGAAGAAAAATCTGATCGGTAGCTATTACAGCGTTTACAGCATTAAAGAGTCAGTGTTTGATCATGGATACCCTTTTGCTCTCCAAGACCCCTTATCAGTTCTTATCAGATGTTATCAGTTCCTGCCACAGCACCTACGACCACGTGACATCCTACAATGCCATCTTGAAAAGGTTCCACTGTTGACAACGAAGGGGATTGCAACACTTGCTCCCTTGTTCTTCGTCTCTCCACATCCTGCACTATCTGCTGGAATGTTCAGTTGTTAGTATGAAAGGCGTTGTAGATTTGTTAGCCTTCGCCTCCTATCAGTTTCTATCAGTCTAACAGTTTTTCGTAACAGTAACGGTTCCTGTGGCTCTCGCCTTTCAAGGCTCTTTATCGACTCCTTTTGATTGTTATCACCGCTTATCACCTACCACTGGTGTTCCTATCCTGCTTCCTGTACTCCTACCAAATTTCAACGCAATAGCACCACGTAAACAGGAGCTATGAATTTGCAACCCAAAATTTCTATCGCGCACGCCCGTCCCCTGTGGGCGGAGTTCGATCTCGCTACCTGCCATAAATAATCCCATGCCACCCCCTGTACTCCTACCAATTTTGAACGCTTTGGGTCCACTGGAACAGGAGTTATGAAATTACGGTCAAACACACACACACACACCGACACACACACACACNCACTATCTGCTTTAATGCTCAATTGTTAGTATGAAAGGGGTTGTAGACTTGTTGGCCTTCACCTCCTATCAGTTTCTATCAGTCTCTAAGAATTTTTCGTAGCAGTAACGGTTCCTGTTGCTCTCGCCTTTCAAGGCTCTTTATCAACTCCTTTTAATTGTTAACACCGCTTATCACCTACCACCGGTGTTCCTATCCTGCTTCCTGTACTCCTACCAAATTTCAACG